ATACACTTAACAGATCAAAGAACAGGTGTCAGAGCATGAGGCTGCAATCAGTGAACACCAGCTGCTGTGTTACCAGCACTCCCGCATGTGCTTCAACAAGAGCTGCATCACTAATAGAGATTACACTGGCATTTTAATATGAGATTCTTTAATATCAACAGCTTTCCACTTGAACCTTTATCTCAGAAGGGTATTATTATTATCCCAAGCTTTTTGTTAAATACGGTTCTAATTTGCAGGGTCTTGTTCAATATCTTCTTAAATTACTTACCACCTTAAGAAATGCAATAAAAAAAGACTTGCATCATTTGATCTCCAATTACACATCAATTGTTAGAACCTGTTTAAAAAATGCAGTTTATAACTAAATACATCCAAGATGTTTTGGGAAGGGCTCTCTGAAAAAAGAAAAAAAACATTCCAAGCACCTTATTAATCTACGTAGGGCCATTTTCAAAGTTCTATTCAGTCAATATTTTATTTTATTTACTAGTCTACAAAAAATTAATATGTTATTTTACAAAAATGTCATGACATTTGTAAGAATAAATCAGGTACAAGCAAATGCAAAATTTTCGAATACAAAAAATAAGAGTATCCATGACTGAAAAGAGCCTTGAGCAATTTCATAATACATTCTCTTACCTTCAATATCAGCAAGCATACATCTAGCTATGTTTCCCCCCAAAGATAACAGTCTCTTATTGTTTTGAATTTAAAATATAATTACTTTGCTCCATTTTGAAAATTACATAATTAAATTGAACATTGACAATCCCACTGTCTGGGATTAGGGTACACTTCATTTAATATACCAATTTCATTTTTCATGTACTTCAATTTCATTTTTCATGTTTTCAATATCATATACTTCAGAATTATTAAAAAGCAGGGATCATCAACATGAGGATGAAATGAAATTTAGATTTAGAAATTTTAAAAATTTGTTAAAAGAAACAAACTCCTTTGAGCAAATTCCAAAACATCATCATACAGATGCAGCCATTCAAAATGGGTGGGGTATTTCGCGGTATACCCTGGTGGGCGTGTCGCGGTATCACGCAGTATCATGGGGGTTAATCG